ACCGAAAATCGGAGGTGCCGTTATATGGGGGCTATACGAAGACGTGGAACTGTCATAGGCTGTAATATTCATTTCAAACTCAAAGTACCAAATTTGAAAGAATTCCGGTGAATAATGTCGCTAAAATCATCAAAATACCGAACTTCAGGAGGTACCGTAACATGGGGGCTACACGAAGACGTAGACCTGCACAGACAATTTTCTGTCTTAGACTGTAGTATCCATTACGAACTTCAAATAGCAAATTTGAAACTATTCCGGTAAATAATGTAGCTAAAATCATCAAAATACCTAATATCGGTATTAGATTTAATGTGAAGAGGATCTAAGAATCTTAAAATATTCAGTCTTTTGTTATTAATATCAATTCTTGACAATATTTGATCACATAAATATTGATAAAATTTAAGTATATTGCCTTTAATTAGAGAAACATTTTCTTCTGCTATATTTTCAGAAGAAATTAATGTTTTCACCTCATGATATATATACATATTTGGTCACATCCTTGATGTGAAAACAATTTTTATAATCAATGGTCCAAATTTCAAGAAGATTTATGAATTCCTTTTTACAAAGTTTCTGAAAAGTTTAAGTAAAATGTCTTTTGTCATAGAACAAAGGTATATTATTTGAGAAGACTCGCTTTGAAAAGAGGTGTTCAGAGTGTTCGTTATTTTAAGAACATAAACTAAAAAATTTAAACATATCTTGTTTACTATTGATAACTCATTTTGAATTGAATATATTTTTTTCAATTGCTTTCCAAATTTTGTCTCAAATTGTTCTCTTATAAAATAGTGTTGCAGTACCCGTCTGGAAACAGATTCGAAAGAAAGCCATCTAGTGTCACTTAATCTTAAAAGCTTGTGCTCAGGTATATCGAAAATGCGTTGGAGTTCCTTATAATCTGATTGCCTCCTTTCACTTTTAAAGTAATTAAAAATGTCTCTTAACAGCTGTTCCAGAAATTAACAAACACAACAATGTTGACAACTTTGAGCACGCGAAAACCACTTACAAACACCTAATATAAAAGCGTTCGCTTTGAAATTTGCTATCGCTAATTGGAAATGGCAGCGTACGACGCTTTTCACTATTTCATTTCATTGTTTTTAATACAGCGTTTAGATTAAAATATATGTAGTTTAAAAAAAGGTGTCACAATGTATAAAAAAGTGGCACAAAAATTCAAAAAAGTGGCTCATTTAGGATCAAAATAAAAAAGTGGTACAAAGGTATCAAAGCCCAAAAAAGTGGCAAAATTGAGTGTGGCACAACGGTTACGCTGGTCCACTTTTTGATGATAGATGATGTCGAAATAATTAAAAGCGGTCACACTAAAGTTAAAGGATAATTACTTTTTCGAAATCGCTAACAAAAAAGAGACTACCTCTTTGCAGAAATTCTAAAATCGGGGAAAAAATATAACATTTTCAATTGAATCGACCTTCAAAATTATAGTACATTCTATTGACAAACTTCGTAAGGTCCCAATTGCTGTAAAAAATCAGCGAACAAGTTGAAGATTTTTTTAAATTTTTTTTCTTTTTTTCAAATGAGAGCGCAATTCGATGTTAAATGGCGATCTTTCCTACATCATGCTTCAGTTGGAAGATGCGAACAAATTTAAACAAACAAAATTGGGCTAATTTCAAAACGTTATGGCTAATTTCAAAACGTGGACCTACTTCTTTCATGTGACAATAATCCGTCCAGTGAGAACTCAAAATGCAAAACTCATTGCACTGCAATCAGTGAAATAACGAATATAAAGGGCGCAAAATAGTAGATCGTATCAGAAATTCTTCTTAAACTTTCAAGATACTTCAAATCACTTTTGCAGGTTAAGATATGGGTCACAACCTCCTCCTAACAAGGGTACTCTCAAATTTCAAGAATATTTTATATTTTAATTATATTTTTAATACTAATTTCTGCAAATGTTGGTAGTTTGCGAAGAAAACATTAGTGCAAAAAGCGATCACGGTTTAGTACCACCATGCTATGATTTAAGCTATTTGAATAAAAAATCTATTTAGGCTACACTGGGGTAGAGAATCATCTTATAGATAATTGCCCACATAGGCATTTATTTAAGGGTAGTTCCCACATTAGTGTACCCCCAAGTCCACTTTTCCAACCAATGTGTGGTCAGAAAAGAACACCACCAAACCCGGCACTGGGTTTTAACCCGGGGGTATTTTAGATGTTCTATATTACATAGGTTTTTAACACTCAAATTAAAGCATATATTTAAAACCGAGGGTAGGCGAACATCTATTATAATTTTGGCCATTATTTATTTCTATTTAAAAATCACAATGGAGTCAGTGATTTATTGTGCTTTAAAAAATATACGTTAAAGACTAAAAGTACGGGCCGGCAACGCGGACCGGGCAACTAGTATATATATAAAAATCAATTGTTATTCGTTGGTAATTGAATCAGTTGAGAACGCCTGGAACGGTTAGGAGATTTTTTTTAAATGTTTGTTCTATCTTCTCTTTCAAATTGAAACCACCTTGCATACATAAATAAAGTATTATACATTTTGCAATTTCAGGAAACATGAAATATACGACAATATTACCTGATGTGGTGTCGCCGTTCCTTAACCGCAAAAAAAGGTTTTCGCACCATCGCCGTTTTGTTAAGTATAACAACGAGTTTTTTTATTATTAGGCAAAAAATATGTTCATATTGTCTTGCAATGAAATATTATATCAAAAAGTGACAAAACGTCATATCGGATTTGACACTAGCATTGTTATAGAGCAAGGCTAGGCAAGGAGTATCCCATGGGATGTATGTGTGTTCACCAACACAATTGTAAAAATAAATTGTTTTGAATTATCTGTCAAATTGGTTTTTGGATAATATTAGAGGTGGAGAAACATCCATGTTTTCAATGTTTTTAAAATAATAATGCCATGTTCTCATTGCACTTTCAATCACGTTGTTTGCTCTCAGAATTAGGTACACGAATTAACCCCTTCGTACGGGACGATTCGTAATTCATAGTAAAATAATTTCTTTTTTCAAACATTTTGTTTGTTGATTTTAATGGGAACTTATGCGAAAATACACGAAATTCTCACTAATATGAATAGAAGAAATTATTTTTTTTCTCTCAAAGATTTATTATATCATTAATTTTACAATTTTCATTCATGTTTTCAACTTTTTGTGTAAAAGTTAACATTTTGAACGTATTTTTGTATTTTTCTATTTCTAAATTCTGCTGGAGAGACACTTGTCATACATTTTTTCTGTCAATACAACCATTTTGGAAATAATGCCTCTTTTGTTTCCAGTTTTCTGTGGAAATTTCAACTCGTGGACAAAATGCCCACCTTGGATGAGAGAGAAAACAAAATTTACTTTCGTTTGAATGTACATACGCCATTCAACATAGTAGTTTTCATTCATAATTTTCAATCCGCCCAAATTTTTGTCTATTTTGAATTTTTAAATGTCATAATTTATTTTTTCGGTAAATGCTCTTATTTGTTAGGGATGGCACACATTTCATCTTAGTTCTGAGAGTGATTTAAATGAAACAAAGAACAAAAATCTTTTTTCGCTCACAAAGCGTCGTGTCGGATTTGACACTAGTATTACTATAGATCAAGGCTAGCCAGGAATATCCCATGGAATATCTTTGTGTTGACCAACACAATTGTAAAAATAAATTGTTTTGAATTGTCTGTCAAATTGGTTTTGGGAGAATATTAGAAATTTAGAAACATCGAAACATGTTTTTAAAACAAACATCGGTGTTACATAAATGTTTCTGAAAAAATAAGCATGCAATGCTATAGGTTTGTTCCAGATCGGCAAGAATGTTAAACTTTTTACTACGGTAACAGATATCATAGAGGGAAAATCAGAAAGTAATATTTAGTAATATTTTGCACATTCTTGCAGTCCTGGAACAAAGCATATGTTCTCATTGCAATTTCAATCTAACTCACGAATCAACCTGTTCTTACTGCACGATTCGTAATTCATAGTAACAAAATTCCTTATTTCAAAATTTTGTTTGTTAATTTTAAGGGGATTTTGTAGGAAAACATGTGAAATTCAAAATAATATGAGTAGAAGAAATTATTGTTGTTCCTCTAAAGATTTCTATTATTATTAATTTTACAATTTTCATTCATGTTTAGAACTTTTTGTGTAATTGATTGTGTTTAGTTTTGTAGAAACTGTACATGTTGTAAAAATAGTTTGTGTGTTGAATGTTCTTCTTTAAATTCTATTCTTATTATGTAAATTAGTTAAATAAAGAAAACACTTAAGATGCATGTGTTTTCCATATGCTATGTTTATGGTCGGTAATAAATAATGTAATAAATGTCACGGCCATAAATAGAAGATAAGAAAGTGTCGATCACAAATTAGGTACGTTTCGTTTTCTCCCGCAACGTAATGTGTGCGTCAACGCACAGCGTGCATTAGTAAATAAAATGCATGTGTAAATGTATGAGATGTAAGCTTTAGTGTTAAGAATATGTTGTAAATAAATTGAGTTCCCTTCCAGCCACGGAACGAGAAAGATCATCTCGCGGCGTTTTCTTTTTCTTTCGTTACCCGCTAGCAACATGAACTAGTTCGGCATCGGAAACTCGTCGATTCTCAGAGTTACAGTAACTAGTTCCACTTAAGACCCCTTACAGTGCAAACAACTGTAAACTTTAACATGGGGATGTCATACGAAGTAACCAATTGGCTCCCTTTGCATTACCTGTAGATGGTACTTTACTAGTTCCAGGTTTACAGTCATATACCAGTGACATAAGACTAACCCTTACCAAGTTCCAAGTACACAGCCACAGACTAGTGTCAGCAGACTGCCTTTTAACTAGTTCTATGTGTACAGTTATGTACTAGTGTCATTTGACTATCCCTTATCTAGTATAAGCAGACCAATTTTAAACTGGTTTCCCATGAACTAGTTCAGTACCAATTATTGTTAGTGAAATTCTAATTTTTAGTTTTAATTCATTTTTTATTGCAAACAAATGAATACAAATATACCTTACTCTATAAAACTTGAACAAAAATAAATTTAATTTAATATTTATAAAAGCACTTGTATTGCTTTTCGCAGTTGTGTTTCAGGGGTGTCCGAATATTCTGTAACTGGTATTGAATCTGCAAAAAATAATGTTTAATGTATGAAAATGTAGAATATAAAAATAATGTTTATATACACCATACCTAAAATAACGCTGTATATATTACTTAGGGACTTCAAACTTTTTTCCATGGTTTCCCTCAATATTATACTCGTAGTTATATTTGAACCGATAACATTTTTAAACATTTCGATGTTTCCTCTCCTTTTATAATTGATGCTATAATCTTTACCTAAAAATTAACAAAAATTGTATATAATCTATGTTTGTTCAGCAATACATTTAAAAAATACTTACATATATGTATTGATTCTCAATATTTTTCATAAGTGATGGGGAACCTATTCGATAATGGTATCTCATCACTTTGAGATCGTAGCACCATCACCTTCAACTCAGCTAAAGCATCAGCTAAAATTTTGATTTGACCTATAATGAAAACAAACAAATTAATAATTTGTAACAATTCTGAGAAGAATGCTATAATTTTACCTTGAATTACTTTTATTATTATTTTATTACTATTATTACTTTTACTACTCTTTCTTACCTTTTTATTTGTTATTTTCAACACTTTATAACTTATTTGCACAGAAAAATGATACTTCACTTCACAACGATCAGAATAAGAATGCTTTTTCCAAACAAAACGCACTTGCATTCCTCAAGAATAACGGTGCATTGTTTTTTTTATTGGTAATCTGAAAAGAACTATTCAAAGTGGTTCTTGTTCGTAGAGATCTCATTCAAATGTTCGTTTGGTTTTTTCGTTGTGGTTTTTATTTATGCACAACTGTCGCTTCTTTGCATTACTTGGGGACGAAAAGGTGTCAATTGGTTACCTTTGCATTACTTGGGGACACATTTGGTACTAGTCCGGCTTATATCTAGTATAGCACTGGTGAAATTGTGTTAAATGGAATTTTCATTGCCAGCGGGTAGTTACATCGCTTTGTGATGAGGTTAGGAGTCGACCTCATCAGATTGCATTTTAAATATTTTTTGTGTTTTCAAATTTTTAAATTCCTTTGGAGTAATTTCAATAAATGAAATAATATAAAATAATTAAAACATATTTATATTTTTTGATTAAAACAAGAGAAAAACTGAAGTCTTACTCATTTATTATAACAAAAATAAATAATAAATTTAATTATAAAAAATATCATTTAGAAAAGAGATCAAAACTTTTCAACATTTTCCTGGTTTTTATTAATAAACATCAGTTTATCTACCACCATTGACTTTAAGCGCGTTCGCCGATCAGAAATAATCTACCCAGCTTTGCTCAACATTCGTTCTGATTCGCAGGAAGTTGCCGGCACACATAAATAGTTGAGAGATTTGGACCAACAGCTGAGAACTATACATTTAGGACATAGATGCCCAGCAGTGTGACCGCTGGAAATTTTCAAAAAGTGTCACAAAAAGTGTCATTTCTTGAAAAAAGTGGCACATACCATTTTAAATGGTGGCACAGAAAGTGGCACAATTTATTTCACATTTTACTTAAAAAATAACAGTTTAGAACAAAACAACAAATTCATCTATATGTAATACTATATAGTAATTGCATATTTAACCAGTAAAGAAAGTCTTAAAGTCGGGCGGAGCCGACTTTATGATACCCTACACCACTTTGCTTATTTAGTAGCGCTCCGCATAACAATAAAAGTTTTCATGGGAGAGCTCAATCATACACGCTTTAATTATAATTATAATTTAAAGTTCAAAGGACTTAATATGCCGAAGCATTTGTATCTTTTAAATTCGGACTTGTATTGCCCATTTGGTGCAAAATTAATTGGAAATCATATAAAGATATATATGGGAGCTATATCCAAATCGGAACCGATCTCGATAAAATTTGGCAAAGATATTTCTGAGCTGTATTTGATATATTTCCCTGAATATCGTTGTTACAGAGTTCATATTACGGCTGCGGAGGACAAAAATATCAAATCTGATGAACAGTATATATGGGAGCTATAGCTATATCTGAACCGATTTCGATCAAATTTGGCATACTTATTTTCAGGCTTAATTTGGCTGTATGTGCAAAATTCCATACTATTCGGCCGATATTACACGTTTTGTGCACAATAAAAGGCAAATTGGACGAAGATATATATGGGAGCTATATCTAAATTTTGACCGATTATCTCCAATTTCAATAGAGTTCGTCCTTGGGCCTAACAAATGATTGGTGCAAAATTTCATCCGGATAGGGTAATAAATGCGAACTGTACTTTGTTTTCAAAAATACATGGACAGACGGGCGGACATGCATAAATCTACTATTGGTCTATTTAGTTTCCTTTTGCCTGTTACAAACAAATGCACAAAGACATAATACCCTGACCACCTTGTGGTGTAGGGTATTACAAGGAAAAAAGCTGTAAGTTCGGCCGGGCCGAATTTTGAATACCCTCCACCATATGGTACAAATTTGGCAATTTTCAAAAAAATAAAATCCATTAAAAATTCTCTGAAAATCTTAAAAATACCGAATGTAGCCGGATATTAGGGTCTATACGACGACGTGGATCTGCATACGCAACTTTTGTCATAAGCCTGCTCAGACATAGGATGTAGTATCCATTACGAACTTCAAATACAAAATTAGAAATAATTCCGGTAAATAATGCAGCTAAAATCTACAAAATACTGTATATCGGGGGTAACGTAATATGGGGGCTATTCGAAGACGTGGACCTGCACGAACAATTTTCTGTCACAGGCTGTAATATCCATTACGAACTTCAAATGCGAAAATTGAAACAATCCCGGTAAATAATGTCGCTAGAATCATCAAAATACCGAATATCAGGGGGTACCGTTATATGGGGGCTATACGAAGACGTGGACCTGCACAGACAATTTTCTGTCATAGGCTGTAGTAAAGTAATTAAAATGTCTCTTAACAGTGTTCCAGAAATAAACGAACAGAAAATAAGTAAACAGAAAATAAATAAACAAACACCTAATATAAGAGCGTTCGCTCTGAAATTTGCTATCGCAATTTGAAAATGGCAACGTACGACGCTTTTCATTGTTTCATTTCATTGTTTTAAATACAGCGTTTAGATTAAAATATATGTAGTTTAAAAAAAGGTGGCATAATGTATAAAAAAGTGGCACAAAAATTCAAAAAAGTGGCTCATTTAGGATCAAAATAAAAAAGTGGCACAACGGTCGCACTTGTGCACAGTAGTGGCTGATTTCAGCAATTTCAACTAACACGTATTCTTACGCTCTTTTGTTTGATCGCCAATCAACCAATAGGAAAGCTGAAATATGAGTGGGAGAGACAAGCTACACAGACAGAAGTTCTGTGTAATGTTTACATTTAATCGTAACGAGACTGCTGTTAGTGAACACATAAACTGAAAATTATTGCGATATGTCAATGATATCATTTGAAAAGTATTTATGCTACAAAATGCTTTTGATTATATGCAATGTGTTATATGTTATAAGACATTTAAAAAAAATAAGAAATGTAATTAAAAAAAAAAAAAACATTTTGAAGCTGTTCATAAAGACATGAATTGTTTGCAGGGGGAAGAAAAAGAAAAACAATTTAAAATGTATATAAATTCATCAAGAGTATTACTAAAATAAATGCATTTATCAAGAGTATTCTAAAACATGTACATTCATTAATTTTACATTTCCCAGAAAAAGAAAAAAATGACGGCACCCGCCACACATGTGCTTTCGTCGCTATCTCGTTGACGACTAAATAAAATGAATAGAAAAATCTTTTCTTCCAGTGTTATTTCGTCGCTCTCACCAATACTATTACATTGGGCATCTATGTCCTAAATCATAGATTTTGTGGCATAAAACACTTTTCAAATGACATCATTGACATATCGCAATAATTTTCAGTTTATGTGTTCACTAACAGCAGTCTCGATTAAATGTAAATATTACACAGAACTTCTGCCTGTGTAGCTTATCTCTCCCACTCATATTTCTGCTTTCCTATTGGTTGATTGGCGATCAAACAAAAGAGTGTAAGAATACGTGTGAGTTGAAATTGCTGAAATCAGCCACTACTGGGCATGTATGATTTAGGAGAATGATGTGAAATCATTAAAATTAAATATTTCCATAACTATTCTTCTGTTTTTTTAATAATTCAAAGTCTAAACATAACATTTTTGAAATTAAATAATTTATTGAATATTAATGTTTTATTTACATTTTTGGACATATAACTCTGACACTTGTATTACGTACAAAAACAAATTTGTGTGTGGTTGTTATTACGTTTGTTGCGCAACAACTGTTGCTGTTACCTGTATTATTCTTCCATGAATTATACCTTGGCTCCAAATGACACCGTTACCTAAATTTCCACGTAGCGTACACAAATATTCAAGATCTCCACTATAGTTAGATGCTTTGTACGTCCTAATTCCCCAAATACGCCAGGTCCATATCTTGAAATCTACCAATTAAAACTGTTGTAAAAATTTATGCCTATTTAAATCCGCCCAATTGTAATATTTCCAACTACAAACATTCAAGTTTTTTTTGGACGCCCGACTTAATTGAAATACGAAATACATGAGTTTTATTTGTACGCCGAATGTTCGGTATCGCTGTGAACTGAAAGAAGAATAAAAACTGGAACTACTTAAACTAAAGAAAGAAAGGACCCATGACACAATCACAGAAGGTAGAGGAAATATGGTACAATAAAATTAAGATTTTAATTTTTATTATTTTCTTGGCTCAATATGTCAACTTTATTTGTTTATGTGTGTAATCTTTTCAATAATAAAAAATTGGTAGAGGTAGGAATTTTTACCCTGATTCCGGGAAACTATTGCTTTCTTGGGGGACAGACCCAGGCCCCCAGATTTATTTTTACCAGAAAGTCCGGATTCATGGGGCTGGGCCGGATCCACTTACCCCATTATATACAATATAGGTAGAGTTAGAATGCGGTTTGGAAGTTATAGTCAAATTATCGATTTTTTTGGATCCTATTTTTTTATAAAAATCCTAAAAAATCGAAAAACATTAACAAATTTGATGCCATATTATGACTGACAGTATTACTTTTCACAAATTTCTATAATTTGTTCTAATACCTTCTTCTGGGTACGTTCTACCGGCAACGCGAACTAAAGTTTTTCTAAATTTAATGCGGTTGAAAAGACCCATATACCTGGACCCAGAAAAATTATTCGCGCAAATTGTACCATTTTGGAAAGGTAAGAGTGTCAGTAATAATTTGGCAACAGTCTGGTTAACCCACATAATGCGTCCTATTTCGGTTTTTTGGGGGTTTTATAAAAAATCCGATAATTTGACTATAACTTCCGAACCGCTTAAAAATCGGACTTCGGAGCAAAAATTTGGGATCTCGGGTCTGTCCCCAAGACAATATAGTTTCCCGGGATCAGGGTAAAAATACCTACTACTAGAGTTTCGAAAAAATTGAAGAGTTTTCACTAAACTAGAGTAAGGCTTTAAATACATAAAGCGCATATTTGGCTGGCTTAAGTCATCGGCTGGCTTCTTCATAAATGAACAAAGGAGTTTTAGGTTGACCTAGTTCGATTTTGGCCCTAGGCTCCTTCATTTCCGAAGAAGCCAGCCAAATAAGCGCTTTATATATTCCCAGCTTAAAGCTTTCTTACATTACAAGCCAAACTATTCCGTCAAAACATATACACCGTTAATATATGTGTGTGTATTATTTTGAATAAAAAGGAAAATAATTTAACCCTTTCAGTGTCAATGAAAATTTTTGTCGAGATAAAAATCTGAAATTCCGTACTAATTTACTAAAATGTGCTCAGAAATTCGAAAACGAAACTAATAGAATATAACTGCAATATTTTTAAATAGCGAACATGTCTGTTATTAAAAAATATCAAAACTAACGGTTCGTAAGAAAAACAAAAAATGGCAAAGAAAGAGAGTACTTTTAAATGTCAAATATATTTGACAAAAACACTGAAAGGGTTAAAATGGTTTAATGTTCAGTTCTTGTACGTTGCACTTACATCCAATGTTTTTTACCCAAAAAATCATCCTGGGCCATTCTAGGTCCTGGTTAAGACTGAAACTCAGATAAGCACCCGAAGGAAAAATTGTGAGTTGCATCTGTATGCCAAGCTGCAAAACATAAACATTGTTAATAACTACATCTGTAAAAACATAGGTTACAATACCTTTCGTTTTACATTCAACAATTCTGTGGCAGCCAATGCCAAATTACAAGAACTTGGTTTAAAAGCGGAAATACCTGACCGTTTTGTACAACGGTTTTATTATATAATTAAAAACGTCTCAATATCAATTCATGCAAACAATTCAGCGTAATAATCCTATTAATGTCACTTAAATTTACCGCTTTATAAGAAAAGAGGAAAACAACAAAATAATAGCGACTGAAACGGTTAAAATTGAAATAATTCATATTCATGTGTGGAAACAGAATAACACCGGATCTTTACGTACCACCAGTTCGATAGTGTTTGAATTGTGGCGGTCTGGGTCATATTGCTGCTCGATGCCGCTCTAGGAAACAAAAGTGTCAAAATTGCCTGAATACAACAGCATGCAAGGTCAAGAGTGACTTCCCAAAATGCATTTTATGCGCACACCCCAAAAGATCAAATTAAGTGTCCTAGGGGGAAGTCTGAAAAAAAAATAACATCAAATCTATTACTAGAAAGGAAGTGACTCAAACTTACCCAGAAACACAAAAGTTTTTCAATGTACTAGCTGAAGACAATTTCAACGAAGAGTTCCCACAAATGAACACTCACCATGCCCTTTCAAGAAACATCCAAGAAGAGATAAATAGAAGAATAACCAAAGTTTAATACAACAAAGTAGCAGCTCTCCAACCAAAACACATTCACCCAGTCGCTTAGTCCGTTGAAGTTATTTCAGCCAGTTTATGAACACGAAAAATTCTCCAGAGGATCTGAAATAGAAAAAACCATATCAATTTTTACGAATTAAATGTCCCGCATACTTACCTCTCTAAATAGTTCTAAAGGACTAGACATCCTTTTTTACAAAGTTCTGAAACAATACAAGTGAAACAAGAAATCAGCAAGAAAATAATCAGACTTCAACATAACAAATCAAAATTATTCCGTCTAAAGCGATACGAACGTCTTACCACACAATACACAAAGTTTAAATAAAAACAAACCGTTTCTCGAATTTATATTAAACAAATTGGACATCGATATATGTGTATTAAGTGAAATTTTCAATATTGATGAATTAAATGACACAAATATACTAAATTACAATATAATTTCCAAAAAGAGAATTAAAAAACATATAAAGTTTAAAAAACTCAATTTTCAATCACTTTTGGACATACTAGTCTGTCAAACTTTCAATCTATCATACAATTTAGTCATTGTGTCAATCTATTTCCCGCATTCAATAAAATCTTGTGATATTAAAAATGAGCTAGAAAAGTTACTGTGCCGTTTAGAATCTAAAAATAACGTATTTATGTGTGGTGATTTTAACGCAAGGCATTCGGGGACACTTTTGATTCGCACAGAGGTCACATTGTTAAATCTGTTTTTGACGCTTCTAATTTTTATTGTGTAAATAGTGTCAGTTTAACCTTTAAGAAAAACTTAAATCAAAACATAGGCTCAGTTCTAAATTTGTCTTTTACAAATATGGGTCTAAGTTATTCCTGGAAAACTTACCCTTCAACAATTGGTGGAAGTCATAACTTTCCGATCATCACTAGTGTAGGTGACACAAAAGTAAAAATTAGAACATCTCCGTCAAAAAAATTACTCAGCAGTCTCAAAAGTGTTGAATGGTCTGCTTCTTTTGAGGAAATTCAAAAGAGTTTTAATCGCGAAATAAAAAACGCAACGTACGTGGTCAAAAATAACGAAACTCCTAAGTCTTGGTGGGATCCTGAAGTCGAAAAAACTAATAGGCTCCAAGTAGTGGCTCAGAATACCTTCGATAGGTACAACAACAACATCAATGCGCCCATATTATTTGAGGCGACAAAAAATTTCAAAAATACAGACAGGTTTGTCAAAGAAAAAACGTTCAAAAAGAAAATAAATGATCTCAATACTGAACTAAGTTCAAAATCTCTACTCAAATTTGTTCGGGGTACAAGAACTCTCTAACATCGGTACACCAAAGTAAATGGTCGTCAGATAATTACAGGAAATTCCTCAGTCATCTTAGGGATCAAGTCCCTAACAACACATCTATTACCTATACCACAACTCATTCAAACCGGAAAATCGTTTTATTCACCGAGGAACTAAACAATGTCCTAATGCCCAATGTCGTATAACATACGAGATGGTTAATAATTCTTCAGACCAAGCCCATGAAAATCTGCTTATTGCAATGAATAATGCCTGGACAAATTGTGACGTCAAAAACAAATGGAGGAAAATTAAGATTGTTCCAATTCCAAAAAGAGGCAAGGATCGAGATATCCTCACGATTTTTAGGCCGATTACACTTATATCCGTTTTCTTAAAAATCATCAACCTTATGGCGAAGAATCGTCTTCAAAAATTGCTGGACTACAATAACATTTTACCTTATAAAACATACGCATATAGGATAAATCTTTCCGCATCTATGTGCATAAATGGCTTGCTATACACAATCAATTGCCACAAAGAGCTTGGTGAAAAAGTTATAATCGTATCACTTAATATCTCCAGAGCATACGATTATCCCGATCAAATATCTATCTGGATGATAAAATTTTTAAAGCAGTGCACATTAGTTTTGGGTTATGAAACTCTTGAAATTTGTAATGGTCTTCCCCAGGGGAGCTGTTTAAGCCCAACTATATTCAATATCTACACATTTGGTTTACATAAAATCAACGACCAATTCACCAAGACCTACCAATTTGCTGTCGGAGCACAATTTAAGCATTCTAAGATCCCTTAAACTCACGTACAATACAGAAAAAAACAATTGATATGTATGTAGCAAAGGGTGCAAGGAAAGTTCCTGAAATAAAGGTACGTGACACTCGGATAAATTCCGTCGATAAAATCAAATTTATTGGCCAGCACATTAAGAACTGCCTTACGTTAAAAGACCACTACGATGAGGTAATTTACTCATGTAACACAACTCTTAATCCACTCAAAATGATTAATTCGACGAAAGCTGGAATACATCCAAAAATTTCAACAAATATAGCAAAATCTTTGTTATTCTCAAAAACTGAGTTCTCCGTTTCTTCCATGGCTCACATGCCGAACTATATTAACAAGAAAGTAACAACCTTTCAGAATCAGATACTTAGAAGTCTAGGACTGACTCCATGCACTCCTGTCCTGACTCCATCCACTCCTGTCCTGACACTCCTGTCCAAATTGTTTATGCACTAGTTCTTACACCTGAACAACGCTCACAATATCTGGCCACCAAGGAACTGCTAAAATTCAAATTATTTCACACCGATACCTATGAATTATACAAAGCAAATCCCAAAAGCAAAACAAGCTGTGGGCTCATGTACAATAAATTCAAACACATTTCCGACAACACAAAATTCTCTCAGTTTGAAACAGCTGGTGAGAATATTTTCAACTCAACTTCTAGCCAGAACTTCTTATTTAAAATTAACTTAAAGTGTTCGTCGCTTATGGGAGAACTAACTGCAATTAATAAGGCAATTGATATTATGCTAGTGGACGGTATTGGAAAGACCCTCATTCTAACAGACAGTAAAAATGCCTGTCTTTCATTAAATCACAATAACAACCACAACTATCTTGCCAACGAATTAAACTTGAAGATTAACAACTCCAATATCAGTTCACTCACCTTTATATGGGTTCCGTCACATATAGGCATCACAGCAGATGAACGTGCTGACTAGCGGCCACAGTTGGCTGTATAATAATAACACATCTATCAATCAATGATGCATATTCAGCAATCTGTTAAATGAATGGGTCAACAACTACAAAACAATATGAAGAACAAAAGGCATATACTTCTCCCAATTCTTTGCTTCACCTCCAAAATCACATTGGTGTACTGGGTTATCTTTGTCACCCGGAGAAATCAAGTTAATAAATTGTCTTTTGGCTGGCCATACATTTGCAAAGACCTACATTTTTAGAGTAAATAGAGTGGACACCAACTTATGTGATGTCTGCAACATACCAGAATCTGAAAGTCATCTAATTTTCGCTGCACTTCCGGCAGACATTTTGTGGAGAACGCACACGTTTTGTTTTCTGTTAAAAAGTTCTTTGAAAACATATTATAGGTAATTGTTTTTTGTAGAGATCGCACAAAAATCTGTATGCACTTTAAAAGTGTTAATTGTGTAACAAAAAAAAATATTTTTTTGTCTTAAACTTTACAAATAAATAACTTAACCTATGTGAGGTTTAGCCGTATATGTGGCCATTGAATATGGCCCAGGCAGAAAGTGTTGACGGCCTACCCAATTCTCTGATTGTTTGCGGCTTGGACAGCGACAGGTCATAGGGTCATTGGAATAAGGTAGAGTCGAGAAATAAAGCTAAAGGAATGAAGAATGATGTAGGGAGTATGACAAATGCTAGTGGTAGCAGTACTGATGGAAATTGAATTGCAGAATTGACAACAAATCCACGCACCTTGACGGAGCCGAAAGCGTTGAGCAAAAAAAAGGAAGATGAATGATGAGAAAGTGCTGTATGGTAAGGATAATGCAGGTGAGATAAATGTGCTAGTTGACGCATCGGAGGTAGAAAATGTTAAAAATAAAAGGGTCAAAAATGGTCTACATTTTATGGAAAAGATCAAAGGCCTGAAATCGGATGAATTCAAGAAAATTAACAAGACGGTCGCTATTGGGGTTTATTTTTTTATGATATCAAATAAGCCAACGACTTTGTTAACAACAACGAGTTAAAAGAGGGAAAAATGAAAGTATTTATACCAAGGAATTTTATTGAGACCTTTGGTGTAATTAGGAATATTCCATTATGCTGGACTGAACAGGATATCGTGAGAGACACTGTGTCGTCCATGAAAATTGCCTCAGTTAAAAGATTTGCCAAAATTTAAAAGATTTGCAACAAATTTAATCCGACTGAAACTGTCAAGATCGGTTTTTTGTTGATGATCATCCGCAATGGGTAGTTTTCAACAAAACAGTCTTAACTGTGGATACGTATTACTCAGCAGTGAGACAATGCCATAAATGTGGCAGACTGGGTCAAACTAGACTAGGATGCAGATTGGAAGAGAGGTGTTTGAAATGTGGTTTGGGCAAGGGGCAGTACGATGGTAAATGCAAGGAATAATATTGCATATTATGCAACAGGGAAGGACATGTTGCTATTGATAGGAATAAGTGTCCCATTTGGAAAAAGGAGGTGGAAACCAATGAAATCATGACCAAGAGGAAAATGTCCAAAAGAGAAGTGTTGGATGAATACGGACGAATGAACAGATTTGAACTTTTGGTAGACGATGAAACGTTTTCGATCCTGTCGAAGATGAAGGAAGAGGAAAAAGGTGTCAGAGCTGCCAGCAAGGATGATCAGGTGAATGCTATAATGACCCCATATGAACAAATATGTTCATCCTCAGGGTGTCAAAATGCCAGAAAGAATGTTTAATCAACCATCTCCTTCTGCTCCAGTTTATCTCAGAAAAGATCTTGGAGTCATTGAGTTAGAAAAGACTACTGGCGAATTATTAAAATTTGTTCAGGACTTTTGCAAAATGAGTGACTATTCTAACAGAATAGAAAAATGTGGAGTATCTACTAACCAGTTCTACACTTCTAATACTCTTTATACATCTAGCCATGGGTCTGAAAGTTCTACAATATAATATACAGTCTTTCCAAGCTAATAAACAATGCGTCGACTTCTTTTCCAACAATTATAAAATATTGATATAGCAGATTTCCCAGAATTTTTTTTCTGAGAAGTCTAACAAGCCAAACAAGATGATAAATTTTAAGCTTATTCTAAAATTCAGAGCAGATGGCTATGGAGGTTTAGCCATCGCATTTAATAAACATGTTAAATTTAACCAAAGTCCAAATTTCCATATTGTCTCCGTATACTTCCACCCGTTCAAGCTTCAAACTTAAGATGTGTAAATCTTGGTAAAATTACATTTAAAAGGAATCCTGATTCTGATGACTTGGTCCTTGATTTGGCCTTTGTTAGCAACGGTTTAGCTATTGATTGGAGTGTTCTGGACAACTACCTCGAAGGTAGTAAACACTTTCCTGTTATCCTAGAGCTACATGGTAACATTAATGGTTCTAAGAAGTTCCTTTCCAAAAATAAATTGTTTGAATCATTGAACAATGTACAATTAGAGCCTGATTTCGAAATGATTGAGGATTCTCTCAAAATGGAGATATCGTATGCAAGAACTCCCGAGTATTGGTGGATCGATCAGTTACTGGCTCTGTACAGGAGATATGTAGCTGCGACCAATAAGGCTAGAAAACACCTTCCTTATTTAAAACTGGGAAACGCCATTTTGGAAAAGGAAAACTGAAAAGAGCAGGTAGCAGTGGCCAAAAGACAGCATTTTCTGGTCAAAATTGATGTGTTGAATAGAGAGCCCTGTGCTAGAAAATCTCAGTCATCTAAGGGATCAAGTCCCTAACAACACACCTATACCTCAACTCTTTCAACCAGACTCATTCAAACCAGACAATCGTTTTATCCACCGAGGAACTAAACAATATCCTAATGTCCAATATCGTATCACATACGAGATTGTTAATAATCCTTCAGACCAAGCCCATGAAAATTGCAATGGACAAATTGTGACGTCAAAAACGAATGGAGGAAAATTAAGATTGTTCCGATTCCAAAAAGAAGCAAGGATCTAGATATACTTACGAATTTTAGACCGATTTCACATATATCCGTTTTCTTAAAAATCATAAACCTTATGGTGAAGAATCGTCTTCAAAAATTCTTGGACGACAAAAACATTTTACCTTATAAAACATACGCATATAGGAAAAATCTTTCCGCATCTTTGTACATAAATGACTTGCTATATACAATCCATGCTATACACAATCAATTGCCACAAACAGCTTGGTGAAAAAGTTATAATCGTATCACTTGATATCTTCAGAGCATACGATTGCGTAAAAATTGAGGTTCTCTTCAAAATACTTGAAGAACTCCAATTTCCCGATCAAATATCTATCTGGATAATACATTTTTTAAAGTAGCGCACATTAGTTTTGGGTTAGGAAACTCTTGAAATTTATAATGGTCTTCTCCAGGGGAGCTGTTTAAGTCCAACTTTATTCAATATCTACACACTTGGCTTACATGGAGTCAATGACCAATTCACCAAGAACTTTCAATTTGCTGAAGATTTTACCATACTGTCGGCGCACAATTTAAGCATTCTAAGATCCCTTAATCTCACGTACAATCCAGAAAAAACAATTGCTATGTATGTAGCAAAGGGTGCAAGTTCTTGAAATAAAGGTACATGACACTCGGATAAATTCCGTCGATAAAATCAAATTTCTTGGCCAGCACATTTGAACAGCCTTACGTTAAAAGACCACTACGATGAGGTAATTTCCTCATGTAACACAAATCTTAATGCACTCAAAATGATTAATTCGACGAAAGCTGGAATACACCAAAAATTTCCACAAAATCAACAAAATCTTTGTTATTCTCAAAAACTGAGTTCTCCATTTCTTCCATGGCTCACATGCCGAACTATATTAACAAGAAAGAAACAACCTATCAAGACCAGATACTTAGAAGAAGTCTAGGACTGACTCCATCCACTCCTGTCCAAATTATTTATGCACTTGCTCACATATCTGGCCACCAAGGAACTGCTAAAATTCAAATTATTTCACACGGATACCTATGATTCATACAAAGCAAATCCCACAAGCAAAACAAGCTTTGGACACATGTACAATAAATTCAAACACATTTTCGACAACACAAAATTCTTTCAGTCTGAAATCCTTGGTAAGAAAATAACATTCCTCATGAATATTTTCTACTCAACTTCTAGCCAGAACTTATTTAAAATTAACTTAAAGTGTTCATCGCTTATGGGAGAACTAACTGCAATTAATAAGGCAATTGACATTATGCTTGTGCACGGTATTGAAAAGGCCCTCATTCTAACAGACAGTAAAAATGTCTGTCTTTCATTAAATCACAATAACAACCACAACTACCTTCCCAACGAAATAAACTTGAAGATTAACAACTCCAATATGAGTTCACTCACCTTTATATGGGTTCCGTCACATATAGGCATAACAGCAGATGAATGTGCTGACTACCGGCCACAGTTGGCTGTATAATAATAACACATGTATCAATCAATGATGCATATTCCGCAATCTGTGGAATGAATGGGTCAACAACTACAAAACAATATGAAGAACAAAAGGCATATACTTCTCCCAATTCTTCGCTTCACCTCCAAAATCACAATGCACTTACATCCAATGTTTTTTACCCAAAAAATCATCCTGGGCCATTCTAGGTCCCGAAGGAAAAATTGTGAGTTGCATCTGTATGCCAAGCTGCAAAACATAAACATTGTTAATAACTACATCTGTAAAAACATAGGTTACAATACCTTTCGTTTTACATTCAACAATTCTGTTGAATGCCAAATTACAAGAACTTGGTTTAAAAGCGGAAATACCTGACCGTTTTGTACAACGGTTTTATTATATAATTAAAAACGTCTCAATATCAGTTGATGCAAACAATTCAGCGTAATAATCCTATTAATGTCACTTCATTTTACCGCTTTATAAGAAAAGAGGAAAACAACAAAATAATACCGACTGAAACGGTTAAAATTGAAATAATTTACGATGGAGTTCCCCAATTCATATTCATGTGTGGAACCAGAAAAACACCGGATCTTTACGTACCACCAGTTCGATAGTGTTTGAATTGTGGCTGTCTGGGTCATATTGCTGCTCGATGCCGCTCTAGGAAACAAAAGTGTCAAAATTGCCTGAATACAACAGCATGCAAGGTCAAGTGTGACTTCCCAAAATGCATTTTATGCGCACACCCCAAAAGATCAAAATAAGTGTCCTAGGGGGAATCTGAAAAATATAACATCAAATCTATTACTAGAAAGGAAGTGACTCAAACTTACCCAGAAACACAAAACTTTTTCAATATACTAGCTGAAGACAATTTCAATGAAGAGTTCCCACAAATGAACACTCACCATGCCCTTTTAAGAAACATCCAAGAAGAGATAAATAGAAGAATAACCAAAGTTTAATACAACAAAGTAGCAGCTCTCCAACCAAAACACTTTCACCCAGTCGCTTAGTCCGTTGAAGTTATTTCATCGAAGCCAGTTTATGAACACGAAAAATTCTCCAGAGGATCTGAAATAGAGAAAACCATATCAATTTTTACGAATTAAATGTCCCGCATACTTACCTGTCTAAATAGTTCTAAATGACTAGACATCCTTTTTTACAAAGTTCTGAAACAATACAAGTGAAACAAGAAATCAGCAAGAAAATAATCAGACTTCTACATAACAAATCAAAATTAGTGTCATTCTATATTTCCTTTCTTCTAAAGCGATACGAACGTCTTACCACACAATACACAAAGTTTAAATAAAAACAAACCGTTTCTCGAATTTATATTAAACAAATTGGACATCGATATATGTGTATTAAGTGAAATTTTCAATATTGATGAATCAAATGACACAAATATACTAAATTACAATATAATTTCCAAAAAGAGAATTAAAAAACATATAAAGATTAAAAAACTCAATTTTCAATCACTTTTGGACATACTAGTCTGTCAAACTTTCAATCTATCATACAATTTAGTCATTGTGTCAATCTATTTCCCGCATTCAATAAAATCTTGTGATATTAAAAATGAGTTAGAAAAGTTACTGTGCCGTTTAGAATCTAAAAGTAACGTATTTATGTGTGGTGATTTTAACGCAAGGCATTCGGGGACACTTTTGATTCGCACAGAGGTCACGTTGTTAAATCTGTTTTTGACGCTTCTGATTTTTATTGTCTAAATAGTGTCAGTTTAACCTTTAAGAAAAACTTAATTCAAAACATAGGCTCAGTTCTAAATTTGTCTTTTACAAATACGGGTCTAAGTTATTCCTGGAAAACTTACCTTTCAACAATTTGTGGAAGTCATAACTTTCCGATCATCACTAGTGTAGGCGACACAAAAGTAAAAAATTAGTACATCTCCGTCAAAAAAAATTACTCAGCAGTCTCAAAAGTGTTGAATGCTCTGCTTCTTTTGAGGAAATTCAAAACAGTTTTAATAGCGAAATAAAAAACGCAACGTACGTGGTCAAAAATAACGAAACTCCTAAGTCTTGGTGGGATCCTGAAGTCGAGAAAACTCATAGGCTCCAAGTAGTGGCTCAGAAAATCTTCGATAGGTACAACAACAACATCAATGCGCCCATATTATTTGAGGCGACAAAAAATTTCAAAAATGCAGTCAGGTATGCAAAGAAAAAACGTTCAAAAAGAAAATAAATGATCTCAATACTGAACTAAGTTCAAAATCTCTATTCAAATTTGTTGGGGGGTGCAAGAACTCTCTAACATCGGTACACCAAAGTAAATGTTCGTCTGATAATTACAGGAAATTCCTCAGTCATCTTAGGGATCAAGTCCCTAACAACACACCTATTACCTATACCACAACTCATTCAAACTAGACAATCGTTTTATTCACCGAGGAACTAAACAATGTCCTAATGTCCAATGTCGTATAACATACGAGATGGTTAATAATTCTTCAGACCAAGCCCATGGAAATCTGCTTATTGCAATGAATAATGCCTGGACAAATTGTGACGTCAAAAACGAATGGAGGAAAATTAAGATTGTTCCAATTCCAAAAAGAGGCAAGGATCCAGATATCCTCACGATTTTTAGGCCGATTACACTTATATCCGTTTTCTTAAAAATCATCAACCTTATGGCGAAGAATCGTCTTCAAAAATTGTTGGACGACAATAACATTTTACCTTATAAAACATACGCATATAGGATAAATCTTTCCGCATCTATGTGCATAAATGGCTTGCTATACACAATCAATTGCCACAAAGAGCTTGGTGAAAAAGTTATAATCGTATCACTTAATATCTCCAGAGCATACGATTATCCCGATCAAATATCTATCTGGATGATAAAATTTTTAAAGCAGTTCACATTAATTTTGGGTTATGAAACTCTTGAAATTTATAATGGTCTTCCCCAGGGGAGCTGTTTAAGCCCAACTATATTCAATATCTACACATTTGGTTTACATAAAATCAACGACCAATTCACCAAGACCTACCAATTTGCTGTCGGCGCACAATTTAAGCATTCTAAGATCCCTTAAACTCACGTACAATCCAGAAAAAACAACTGATATGTATGTGGCAAAGGGTGCAAGGAAAGTTCCTGAAATAAAGGTACGTGACACTCGGATAAATTCCGTCGATAAAATCAAATTTATTGGCCAGCACATTAAGAACAGCCTTACGTTAAAAGACCACTACGATGAAATAATTTACTCATGTAACACAACTCTTAATCCACTCAAAATGATTAATTCGACGAAAGCTGGAATACATCCAAAAATTTCAACAAATATAGCAAAATCTTTGTTATTCTCAAAAACTGAGTTCTCCGTTTCTTCCATGGCTCACATGCCGAACTATATTAACAAGAAAGTAACAACCTTTCAGAATCAGATACTTAGAAGTCTAGGACTGACTCCATGCACTCCTGTCCTGACTCCATCCACTCCTGTCCTGACACCGTCCACTACTGTCCTGACACCGTCCACTCCTGTCCAAATTGTTTATGCACTAGTTCTTACACCTGAACAACGCTCACAATATCTGGCCACCAAGAAACTGCTAAAATTCAAATTGTTTCACACCGATACCTATGAATTATACAAAGCAAATCCCAAAAGCAAAACAAGCTGTGGGCTCATGTACAATAAATTCAAACACATTTTCGACAACACAAAATTCTCTCAGTTTGAAACAGCTGGTGAGAATATTTTCAACTCAACTTCTACCCAGAAGTTCTTATTTAAAATTAACTCAAAGTGTTCATCACTTATGGGAGAACTAAATGCAATTAATAAGGCAATTGACATTATGCTAGTGGTATTGAAAAGGTCCTCATTCTAACAGACAGTAAAAATGTCTGTCTTTCATTAAATCATAATAACAACCACAACTATCTTGCCAACGAAATAAAGTTGAAGATTCACAACTCCAATATCAGTTCACTCACCTTTATATGTGTTCCGTCATCACAGTAGATGAACGTGCTGACTAGCAGCCACAGTTGGCTGTATAATAATAACACATCTATCAATCAATGATGCATATTCCGCAATCTGTGAAATGAATGGGTCAACAACTACAAAACAATATGAAGAACAAAAGGCATATACTTCTCCCAATTCTTTGCTTCACCTCCAAAATCACATTGGTATGCTGGGTTATCTTTGTCACCTGGAGAAATCAAGTTAATAAATTGTCTTTTGGCTGGCCATACATTTGCAAAGACCTATATTTTTAGATTAAATAGAGTGGACACCAACTTATGTGATGTCTGCAACATACCAGAATCTGAAAGTCATCTAATTTTCGCTGCACTTCCGGCAGACATTTTGTGGAGAACGCACACGTTTTGTTTTCTGTTGAAAAGTTATTTGAAACGTAATTATAGGTAATTGTTTTTTGTAGAGATCACACAAAAATCTCTATGCACTTTAAAAGTGCATTTAATTGTGTAACAAAAAAATATTTTTTTGTCTTAAACTTTACAAATAAATAACTTAACCTATGTGAGGTTTAGCCGTATATGTGGCCATTGAATATGGCCCAGGCAGAAAGTGTTGACGGCCTACCCAATTCTCTGATTGTTTGCGGATTGGACAGCGACAGGTCATATGGTCATTGGAATAAGGTGGTGTCGAGAAATAAAGCTAAAGGAATGAAGAATGATGTGGGGAGTATGACAAATGCTAGTGGTAGCAGTACTGATGGAAATTGAATGGCAGAATTGACAACAAATCCACGCACCTTGACGGAGCCGAAAGCGTTGAGCCAAAAAAAGGAAGATGAATGATGAGAAAGTGCTGTATGGTAAGGACAATGCAGGTGAGATAAATGTGCTAGTTGACGCATCGGAGGTAGAAAATGTTAAAAATAAAAGGGTCAAAAATGGTCAATATTTTATGGAAAGGCCTGAAATCGGATGAATTCAAGAAAATTAACAAGATGGTCGCTATTGGGGTTACTTTTTTATGATATCAAATAAGCCAACGACTTTGTTAACAACAACGAGTTAAAAGAGGGAGAAATGAAAGTATTTATACTAAGGAATTTTATTGAGACCTTTGGTGTAATTAGGAATGTTCCATTATGCTGGACTAAGCAGGATATCGTGAGACATTGTGTAATCCATGAAAAGGGATCCTAGTATTCCCAACAAATTTAATACGACTGAAACTGTCAAGATCGGCTTTTTTGTTGATGAACATTCGCAATGGGTAGTTTTCAACAAAACAGTCTTAACTGTGGATACGTATTACTCAGCAGTGAGACAATGCCATAAATGTGGCAGACTGGGTCAAACTAGACTAGGATGCAGATTGGAAGAGAGGTGTTTGAAATGTGGTTTGGGCAAGGGGCAGTACGATGGTAAATGCAAGGAATAATATTGCATATTATGCAACAGGGAAGGACATGTTGCTATTGATAGGAATAAGTGTCCCATTTGGAAAAAGGAGGTGGAAACCAATGAAATCATGACCAAGAGGAAAATGTCCAAAAGAGAAGTGTTGGATGAATACGGACGAATGAACAGATTTGAACTTTTGGTAGACGATGAAACGTTTCCGATCCTGTCGAAGATTAAAGAAAAGGAAAAAGGTGTCAGAGCTGCCAGCAAGGATGATCAGGTGAATGCTATAATGACCCCATATGAACAAATATGTTCATCCTCAGGGTGTCAAAATGCCAGAAAGAATGTTTAATCAACCATCTCCTTCTGCTCCATTTTATCTCAGAAAAGATCTTAGAGTCACTGAGATAGAAAAGACTACTGGCGAATTATTAAAATTTGTTCAGGACTTTTGCAAAATGAGTGGCAATGCAGTTGCTATTGACGCTATAACCCTCTTTTCTGACAGAATAGAAAAATGTGGAGTATCTACTAACCAGTTCTACACTTCTAATACTCTTTATACATCTAGCCATGGGTCTGAAAGTTCTACAATATAATATACAGTCTTTCCAAGCTAATAAACAATGCGTCGACTTCTTTTCCTACAATTATAAAATATTGATATAGCAGATATCTCAGAATTTTTTTCTGAGAAGTCTAACAAGCCAAACAAGATGATAAGTTTTAAGCTTATTCTAAAATTCAGAGCAGATGGCTATGGAGGTGTAACCATCGCATTTAAAAACATGTTAAATTTAACCAACGTCCAAATTTCCATATTGTCTCCATATACTTTCACCCGTTCAAGCTTCAAACTTAAGATGTGTAAATCTTGGTAAAATTACATTTAAAAGGACTCCTGATTCTGATGGTTCGGTCCTTGATTTGGCCTTTGTTAGCAACGGTTTAGCTATTGATTGGAGTGTTCTGTTCCTGTTATCTTACAACATTAATGGTTCTAAGAAGTTCCTTTCCAAAAATAGACTGTTTGAATCCTTGAACAAAGTACAGTTGGAGCCTGATTTCGAAATGATTGAGGATTCTCTCAAAATGGAGATATCGTATGCAACTAGACCGATTTCACATATATCCGTTTTCTTAAAAATCATAAACCTTATGGTGAAGAATCGTCTTCAAAAATTCTTGGACGACAAAAACATTTTACCTTATAAAACATACGCATATAGGAAAAATCTTTCCGCATCTATCTGCATAAATGACAATCAATTGCCACAAAGAGCTTGGTGAAAAAGTTATAATCGTATCACTTGATATCTTCAGAGCATACGATTGCGTAAAAATTGAGGTTCTCTTCAAAATACTTGAAGAACTCCCGATCAAATATCTATCTGGATAATACATTTTTTAAAGCAGCGCACATTAGTTTTGGGTTAGGAAAGATCCCTTAATCTCACGTACAGTCCAGAAAAAATAATTGCTATGTATGTAGCAAAGGGTGCAAGGAAAGTTCTTGAAATAAAGGTACATGACACTCGGATAAATTCCGTCGATAAAATCAAATTTTTTGGCCAGCACATTTGAACAGCCTTACGTTAAAAGACCACTACGATGAGGTAATTACCTCATGTAACACAAATCTTAATGCACTCAAAATGATTAATTCGACGAAAGCTGGAATACATCCAAAAATTTCCACAAAATCAGCAAAATCTTTGTTATTCTCAAAAACTGAGTCCTCCGTTTCTTCAATGGCTCACATGCCGAACTATATTAACAAGAAAGTAACAACCTATCAGAACCAAATACATAGAAGAAGTCTAGGACTGACTCCATCCACTCCTGTTTAAATTATTTATGCACTTGCTCACATATCTGGCCACCAAGGAACTGCTAAAATTCAAATTATTTCACACGGATACCTATGATTCATACAAAGCAAATCCCACAAGCAAAACAAGCTTTGGACACATGTACAACAAATTCAAACACATTTTCGACAACACAAAATTCTCTCAGTCTGAAATCCTTGGTAAGAAAATAACATTCCTCATGAATATTTTCAACTCAACGTCTAGCCAGAACTTATTTAAAATTAATTTAAAGTGTTCATCGCTTATGGGCAATTAATAAGGCAATTGACATTATGCTAGTGGACGGTATTGAAAAGGCCCTCATTCTAACAGACAGTAAAAATGTCTGCCTTTCATTAAATCACAAAAACAACCCCAACTGCCTTTCCAACGAAATAAACTTGAAGATTAACAACTCCAATATGAGTTCACTCACCTTTATATGGGTTCCGTCACATATAGGCATCACAGCAGATGAATGTGCTGACTAGCGGCCACAGTTGGCTGTATAATAATAACACGTGTATCAATCAATGATGCATATTCCGCAATCTGTGGAATGAATGGGTCAACAACTACAAAACAATATGAAGAACAAAAGGCATATACTTCTCCCAATTCTTCGCTTCACCTCCAAAATCACAATGCACTTACATCCAATGTTTTTTACCCAAAAAATCATCCTGGGCCATTCTAGGTCCTGGTTAAGACTGAAACTCAGATAAGCACCCGAAGGAAAAATTCTGAGTTGCATCTGTATGCCGAGCTGCAAAACATAAACATTGTTAATAACTACATCTGTAAAAACATTTACAATACCTTTCGTTTTACATTCAACAATTCTGTTGCAGCCAATGCCAAATTACAAGAACTTGGTTTAAAAGCGGAAATACCTGACCGTTTTGTACAACGGTTATATTATATAATTAAAAACGTCTCAATATCAATTGATGCAAACAATTCAGCGTAATAATCCTATTGATGTCACTTCAATTTACCGCTTTATTAGAAAAGAGGAAACAACAAAATAATACCGACTGAAACGGTTAAAATTGAAATAATTTACGATGGAGTTCCCCAATTCATATTCATGTGTGGAACCAGAATAACACCGGATCTTTACGTACCCCCAGTTCGATAGTGTTTGAATTGTGGCTGTCTGGGTCATATTGCTGCTCGATGCCGCTCTAGGAAACAAAAGTGTCAAAATTGCCTGAATACAACAGCATGCAAGGTCAAGTGTGACTTCCCAAAATGCATTTTATGCGCATACCCCAAAAGATGGAAATAAATGTCCTAGAGGGAAATCTGAAAAAATAACATCAAATCTATTATGACCTTACCGAATCTTAGTAGAAAGGAAGTGACTCAAACTTACCCAGAAATACAAAACTTTTTCAATATACTAGCTGAAGACAATTTCAATGAAGAGTTCCCACAAATGAACACTCACCATGCCCTTTCAAGAAACATCCAAGAAGAGATAAATAGAAGAATAACCAAAGTCTAATACAACAAAGTAGCAGCTCTCCAACCAAAACACATTCACTCAGTCGCTTAGTCCGTTGAAGTTATTTCATCGAAGCCAGTTTATGAACACGAAAAATTCTCCAGAGAATCTGAAATAGAAAAAACCATATCAATTTTTACGAATTAAAAATCCCGCATACTTACCTCTCTAAATAGTTCTAAAGGACTAGACATCCTTTTTTACAAAGTTCTGAAACAATACAAGTGAAACAAGAAATCAGCAAGAAAATAATCAGACTTCTACATAACAAATCAAAATTAGTGTCATTCTATATTTCCTTTCTTCTAAAGCGATACGAACGTCTTACCACACAATACACAAAGTTTAAATAAAAACAAACCGTTTCTCGAATTTATATTAAACAAATTGGACATCGATATATGTGTATTAAGTGAAATTTTCAATATTGATGAATCATATGACACAAATATACTAAATTACAATATAAATCCAAAAAGAGAATTAAAAACCAAATAAAGATTAAAAAACTCAATTTTCAATCACTTTTGGACATACTAGTCTGTCAAACTTTCAATCTATCATACAATTTAGTCATTGTGTCAATCTATTTCCCGCATTCAATAAAATCTTGTGATATTAAAAATGAGCTAGAAAAGTTACTGTGCCGTTTAGAATATAAAAGTAACGTATTTATGTGTGGTGATTTTAACGCAAGGCATTCGGGGACACTTTTGATTCGCACAGAGGTCACGTTGTTAAATCTGTTTTTGACGCTTCTGATTTTTATTGTCTAAATAGTGTCAGTTTAACCTTTAAGAAAAACTTAATTCAAAACATAGGCTCAGTTCTAAATTTGTCTTTTACAAATACGGGTCTAAGTAAATTCCGTCGATGAAATCAAATTTCTTGGCCGACACATTTAGAACAGCCTACGTTAAAAGACCACTACGATGAGGAAATTTATTCATGTAACACAACTCTTAATGTACTCAAAATGATTAATTCGACAAAAGCTGGAATACATCCAAAAATTTCCACAAAATCAGCAAACTATTTGTTATTCTCAAAAACTGAATTCTCCGCTTCTTTCATGGCTCACATGCGGAACTATATTAACAAGAAAGAAACAACCTTTCAGAACCAGATACTTAGAAGAATTCTAGGACTGACTCCATCCACTCCTGTCCAAATTATTTATGCACTTGCTCACATATCTGGTCACCAAGGAACTACTAAAATTCAAATTATTTCACACGGATACCTATGATTCGTACAAAGCAAATACCACAAGCTAAACAAGCTTTGGACTCATGTACAACAAATTCAAACACATTTTCGACAACACAAGATTCTCTCAGTCTGAAATACTTGGTAGGAAAATAACATTCCTCATGAATATTTTCAACTCAACTTCTAGCCAGAACTTATTTAAAATTAACTTAAAGTGTTCATCGCTTATGGGAGAACTAAATGCAATTAATAAGGCAATTGACATTATGCTAGTGGACGGTATTGAAAAGGCCCTCATTCTAACAGACAGTAAAAATGTCTGTCTTTCATTAAATCACAATAACAACCACAACTACCTTGCCAACGAAATAAACTTGAAGTTAAACAACTACTGTATAATAATAACACATCTATCAATCAATGATACATATTCCGCAATCTGTGGAATGAGTGGGTCAACAACTACAAAACAATATGAAGAACAAATTCAATTCCAATTCATTGCTTCACCTCTAAAATCACAATGGTGCTGGGTTATCCTTGTCACCTGGAGAAATCAAGTTAATAAATCGTCTTTTGGCTGACCATACATTTACAAAGACCTACCTTTTTAAAGTAAATAGAGCGGACACCAACTTATGTGATGTCTGCAACATACCAGAATCTGAAAGTCATCTAATTTTCGCTACACTTCCGGCAGACATTTTGTGGAGAACGCACACTTTTTTTTCTGTTGAAAAGTTCTTTGGAAACTTATTATATGTAATTGTTTTTTGTAGAGATCACACAAAAATCTGTATGCACGTTAAAAGTGCATTTAAGTATTTTTTTGTCTTAAACTTTACAAATAAATAACTAAACTTGAATATGGCCCAGGCAGAAAGTGTTGACGGCCTACCCAATTCTCTGATTGTTTGCGGCCTGGACAGCGACAGGTCAGAGGGGCATTGGAATAAGGTGGAGTCGAGAAATAAAGCTAAAAGAATCAAGAATGATGCGGAGAGTATGACAAATGCTAATGGTAGCAGTGCTGATGGAAATTCGGTTATGGATATGGAACAAGAGAATTATGCTTGCAGAATTGACAACAAATCCACGCACCTCGATGGGGCCGAAAGGGATGAGCCGAAAAAAAGGAAGATGAATGATAAAAAACTGCTGTATGGTAAGGATAATGCAGATGAGATAAATGTGCTAGTTGACACATCGGAGGTAGAAAATGTTAAAAATAAAAGGGTCAAAAATGGTCAATATTTTATGGAAAAGATCAAAGACCTGAAATCGGATGAATTCGAGAAAATAATCAAAATGGGGCTACCCTTTGTATGATATCAAATCAGCCAACGACTTTCGTTAACAACAACGAGTTAAAAGAGGGAAAAATGAAAGTATTTATACCAAGGTGTTTGAAATGTGGTTTGGGCAAGGGGAAATGCGATGGTAATTGCAAGGAATAATATTGTATATTATGCAACATGAAAAGACATGTTGCTGTTAATAGGAATAAGTGTCCGATTTGAAAAAAGGAGGTGGAAACCAATAAAATCATGACCAAGAGGAAAATGTCCAGAAGAGAAGTGTTGGATGAATACGGACGAATGAACAGATTTGAACTTTTGATAAACGATGAAACGTTCCCGGTCCTGCCGAAGATGAAGGGAAAGGAAAAAGGTGTCAGAGCTGCCAACAAGAATGATCATGTGAATGCTATAATGACCCCATATAAGTTTAGTTCAGTGACGAAAGCGCAAAAGAAAAAATATATTCATCCTCAGGGTGTCAAAATGCCAGAAAGAATGTTTAGTCAACCATCTCCTTCTGCTCCAGTTTACTCCAGAGAAGATCTTTGAGTCACTGAGTTAGAAAAGATTACTGGCGAATTATAAAAATTTGTTCAAGACTTTTTCAAAATGAGTGGCAATGCAGTTGCTATTGACGCTGTAAACCTCTTTTCTGACAGAATACAAAAATGTGGAGTATCTACTAACCAGTTCTACACTTCTAATACTCTTTATACATCTAGCCATGGGTCTGAAAGTTCTACAATATATTATACACTCTTTCCAAGCTAATAAACAATGCGTCGACTTCTTTTGCAACAATTATAATATATTTGTTTAATATAGAATAATTTCTTAACTTTTCGTAGCTTCCACATTCATTGTGTGTGTAACTTCATCTAACGTTATACTCTTTACAATCTGCATATTCCTTTTTCTTACAACAGTGAATTGTCAAAATGCAGATTCTAACTAGTGGCGAATTGCCACCAACGCCACTTTTCAATGTTATGACTGCACTTCACTTGTCACTCGCCTACCAATTAAAGTAGGTAATCTATTCTCTTTTCAAACTTTTTGAACCCCTTATTTCTCTCAATAAAGCAACTGCCTTTATTTTAATATCATATAACTAAAACGTTCGTATTTTATTTATTTGGTTTAAATTCACGAAATTCCTAGTCCTATCGAACCTGGATAAGAGAATTGTATCCAAATTGTTTTCGTTTGTTCGGTTCTCGTTTCCGCAGCCATCAGCATAAAAAACATAATCATCCTCATCAGCTTCATCTTCATCTTCATTAACAACATCATCGGAAATACACAGGTAGGTCAGTGCAGTGGTAATTTTAATTTGTGAGCTCGCGAAAGAAATGTAACAAAACGTAAAAAAATAATATTTCTTTATTTTACAAAAAAAAGTTCCACGGCCGCTTTACAACGCGTCACACAAAATTCTTTGTTAGCTCCGTCTATCGTATATTAGACACGGACGAACATTGTGATCAGTGGGAACAAAATAATATTTTTTTTGGAAAAATAATAATTAACAAGTGATTTTGTTGAAATAGTGAGTGAAAAAATATTTTAAATAAATTATTTTTGATTAAAAGTTGTGGTGTTATTGTTTTTAGAACATAGATTTTAAAGAATTTAAAAATTAATAATAAATATTAATATCAATATCACCTCACTCTAGTGGTAGTTGAAAAGGAAAGAAAACCACCACCATACTCCAAAAAAATCACTGCAAATATCCTTTCTTATTTCACTGATCAATGTGATGTGTACAATTTATATTAATTTTGGAAATTATTAAATAACGTGCACCCTTCAGTCCGCATTGGTCGTTTGATTGGTCGATTCGTATGAATAATATTTTTATTACGTTATTTTATACGAAATTTAATATTTTTTGATTATTTCCAATATTTTATATATAAAATTATGGGTCGGTTGGCATTGAAATTGGAATATTTGGTTATTTTTCCGGAATTTGTGGAAAAATCGATTGTATTATATTTCTTTACTAGAAGAAATAAGGGTTACTAGAGGAGAATTTGGTCGTTTCGGGAAAATTTGAATGGCTTTTTGCATATTTTTCTAAATTTAAATTGGCTTGCTGAATTCTGAAGTCTCTGACAGAGAATTAACTTTCTTTAACTTTAAATTTGTGTTTTGAGCGATTGATTCAATATAATCCGCAAATATGTCGTTCACTCCCTTGGACAGTTTTATCAGAGTTTCTGACGCCTTTGTCAAATTCGTAGAATATATACGGGATATGAAGCCACAAGAGCTTAATCTCTGCGCTTTAGAAGTTCGCAGCGTAGAGTTAGAAAAGGTATGGAAAGAAACTCAAGATAAATTTAACTCGTGTATGCTCTATTTGGAAACGTCTGAGGATACAGATACTAGAGACATGATCGAATCTGCTGATCACAAATATCAGGTCGTGTATCAGGAGTTCATGAAATGTTTAACGGATTAGAATGTTCAGATGTCGGAATTGCGAGTTTCTAGTAAATCTTTGAACTCTTCTCATTGTAGTTCAGTAGTTTCACTTGTGCAGCATCCCTGTAATACTCCTGTAGCACTGCAGTCTTCCTCCCCAATCTTCCCAATATCAATCCTAGTATTCGTCAGAGTTTTATTGATCCTCCTAATAATGACAGCGTTCATAATCTAGCACTACCGCCATGTGATATAGACGTTTTC